AGTCCAGGACCATCAGTCCAGGACCAGTCAGTCCAGAACCAGTCAGTTCAGGACCAGTCAGTCCAGGACCAGTCAGTCCAGAACCAGTCAGTTCAGGACCAGTCAGTCCAGGACCAGTCAGTCCAGAACCAGTCAGTTCAGGACCAGTCAGTCCAGAACCAGTCTGGTTTTTATTTCAGCTGCCAGTTCTCTCTCAGATTTATTGGAAACTTGAAGGAGTTTCTGTTCGTGTGAAAAATTAAGATTTTCCTGTGAGATCAGAGTCCAAACACACGAACGTGTCTGTGTGTGTGTGCATGTGTGTGCGTGTGTGTGTGTGCATGTGTGTGCGTGCGTGTGTGTGTGCGTGCGTGCGTGTGTTATTCCAGCTGGTAAATCATGTGCTTGCAGACGAGGTGAGGCGTGTCAGCGATGAATCAGGCTGCGGTCAGAAGCTCCCGGCCTCAGACTCACCGCGAAACAATAACAGCTTCCATTTTGTCCACTTCATCATTGGGGACGTCCGAGGCTCTTCATCCGTCCTGCTCGTCTTCCTCGTGTTAAAGTTTCTCCTCATAAAGAACAGATGACTTTCTCTACAAATCAGCATGTGGTTTGGAACGAAATTAAATCAATTTTTCAAAACTCACCTCTCCCTCTCCTCATCTCCTTCAGCAGCATTTTTTTAAGTAATTTCTAAAAACTGCCAAAGATTTATGGTTTTTTTTTTTCTGTTTTGAGTTAAAAAGTGAACGTAATCAAAATCTGAGATGAAGTCTGAGCGGGGAGTCCACAACTCCAATAAATCTCATGTTACGACCCTTTATTCAAAGATCTGGGTCTCCTGACAGACTCAAAATGTGCATTACACTCCTAGCATTCTGTGAATGTCTGTCGTTTTCCAGAGTTTAGACTGAGGTCGGCTCGCCGCCTTCCAGAGTTTAGACTGAGGTCAGCTCTCCGCCTTCCAGCGTTTAGACTGAGGTCAGCTCTCCGCCTCCCAGAGTTTAGACTGAGGTCAGCTCTCCGCCTTCCAGAGTTTAGACTGAGGTCAGCTCGCCGCCTTCCAG